AATGATCAAAATTGTGAATAATTTCCATCTCTGTTCTCAACTTCTGAAGTAGTTATTGTTGGAATGCTATTTTCAAATTATAATACCTTTAATTATATCTACATATTCTACAGTCCTTTAAAAAGAGAATGAAAACAAAATAGAACTCAACCAGTTAAAGAATAACATGTGTGCAAGGATATACATGTTCTTTGCTGTGTTGTTTGTAAAAAGAATAGAAATAATTTAGATGTTTGTCAGTGGAAAACTGGCTAAAACAATGTTAAATACAAGTACTCTATTTAGGAGAATATGTACCTTATATAGGGCAAATCTTTATGTAAAATTGAAAAACACATCAAAGAAAGTTACATATTATGTTGGATACATACATGTTTAGAAAATGTGTACCCCCCAAAAGAAACATTAAGGATATACAACAATATCAAGATGGTGATTTGAGGAAGGAGGCATAGAAATGGAATTTGGCAGAGGTGGAGAGGGGACTTCAATTTCATCTGTAACTTTTCTTTCTCAAAAAAAAAGATCTGAAATAATCTGAAATAAACAGTAAAATGTCAGAATGGAGGGTACATTATTACATTGTTCTTTGATCTTTTTATTTACATTTGAACATACTGATAATAAAAATAATAATAAACAGAATGGATTTAGATGCCAGACCATAATTGCAGTTTCCATGTATACTCCTTCCAGTTAATTAGAAAAAGGGTAGGTGTGGATTTCAAAACATTTATATACCATTAATTATGCTGACGTTTCTTATGAAGGTGGCCCTATTTCGTGAGTATTGGGGAGCTCTTTGACATAAGGGCTCTAAGGAATGTATTTTTACTATTATGCAGTGTTAATGGTCTCTGTATATCAGCGTTAATGGAAATCATGTAGTATATCCCCAAGCAGTCCTTTTAAAGGTTGCATTTTTTTGCTCAGCCAAAAATAAAAAGCTCTCATCTTCCTGGATAGTTACGCTAAATAAGCATGTTGTATATTTTCACGTATTTCAAATGAAACAATATGGAACCATTTATTAGGATGTTTTGCTTTGCAGATTTCTTCAGCAAAAACAGCATGGCAACTAATCATTTCTTTGAATTTATGTAATGAATTACACTATTAATACGAATTTGATTGCTGGGACACACAGCACCATAACCCGTTTTTTAGTACTCTGTATTGAAATGTGGCTGTTAACCTCTGAGTTTGGCAAATCTAGACTTGTGTAAATTAACTGGGACAATGACTTGTGACTTTAGAATTGCCTCTTTGAGGTTAAATATGCTGTCGACCTTTTTATGTCCTATTACAGTGTTGTAGGTGTCAAATGTTCACCAAATTAATTTTGTCAGATGTCTACATTCTAACTAGAAAACAATTTTCATTGGCTGGAACATGAGTGTTTATGGCAGATATATTTTAAGTACCTCAATTTCAGTGTTATTTAACGTTGCAGACATTATTAAACATGAAGTGTATTCATACATTCTATATTATTTATTGACTCTTTGTCTTGTCCTGTTGGCTCTAGAGATATAGTGATGATCAAGACAATGTTCTCTCTTCACACTGATAATAATCTAATGAGTAATAGTGTCAATAAAGCAGGTAATTACATAGTGGCATAAGTACAATATGTGAGAAAGCAAAGGGTGTTAAGGGAACACACATCTGGGAAATCTAACCCATTGTAAGTGGTAAGAGTATCCAGGAAGTCTTCCCGGTAGAAGGGTTGTTAGCTGAACCATTTGGAGACTGGAGGAAGAATAGCCCGAGCAGTAAAAACAGCACATGGAAAGGTCCAGAGTTAAGAGAAAGTAGACTTTAACCCAAATGTTTGAGTCATTTCATTGGTATCTGCACCACTGTGAGGCTGTATCTCTTTGGAATTCCTAGCTTAAGTCACTGTGAAGACGGCTACAGGGCATCAGCATTCCGATAGCCCTAGATGTGATCCTCATTCCTATGCCCAGGCTGCACATGAGACTAAATATATCAGAATTTCTAGAAGCCGTTCCCATTGGAATGTTTTTAAAGCTCTCCAGATGATGTGAACACACAGGCAGGTTGAGAATCACTGATTTACAAGATGCATCCTGATGCTCATTGATCTGTCAAGTGTGTAGGCAAGTAAGAGAGACAGAATCGCTGTGCAAGGACATTGACCAAATGAGATGGCTGTGAAGAATGGCCTTGGGGATTATATCCACCAGCAATGGGTTTAAGTGCAAAACCATGAGACGAGAACTTCATATTCCAGAACGGGCTCTTAACATATTCATGTAACTGGGAAGTGCTATCTATTCCTTAATTCATTCATTCCAAAACGTTTAGCTACTAACCCTTTCTATATGTCTGTATGCTAGGTGCTACGGATACATGTATGAGTAAGACATTAACTCTACTATCCAAAAATTCCCAGTACAGTAAAGATACGCTTTCTAAGAAATCAGTCATGTAAAAGAACTATCTAGATCTGGGTACACGTGGACCACTTGGAATGTGTGATTAGGCAAAAGAGCAGAGAAGAACTAAATTTTGAAGAATCAATAGGAGAAAGTAAGATGAGATGTACAATTAGCCCTGAAACAAAAAGACTTTGAGCATGTTTGGAACACAAGCTGAGAAGTGTGACATCCAATAATAGGCTAGAACCCCAGGATTGGCTACCAAAAATCAAGAGAACCTATTCTCCTTGTTGCCAGCAGCCACAATCCATGCTCTGATAGTGTGTATGTAGCTGAAAAGTTTTGTGCTCATGGTCTTTTTTTTTTTTTTTTTTTTGAGAGGTTTTGCTATAGGGCACATGCTCTCACCAGAAAGAGAGAGACAGAGAGACAGAAAGCAAGAACTCATCCGCCAGGGGGGAAGGCCACACTGCAATCCCTTCTTCTCCATTCTCCTCTTGGGATCTTGGGCACACATGCACATGCCCCAGGTGTGAGTTTAAGTCACCAGGTCCAGGGCTTGAACTGTGGTTGACTATATGGGAGTCCAGCAATGTAGCCATTATGCCATCTGCTGGTCCCTGTGCTCATGAGTCTTAAGACCAAAGGCAGAAGTAAGAATTTCAAGGTTCTTACAGTGGCCTAGAGATGGTACAAATGAAGGACTTTGTTGAGGCTCTTGAGGACCAGCTGAGGCACAGTACTAAAGGTGTGTGATGCTGGGCAGGCAGCCTTTGAGAGGACCTCCAATGTCCCTGCCTCCTGGTATTTATCTTTATGGAATTTTCTCGTCTTGAGTGTAGGCTGTACTTACTGACTCTTTTCTAAAGGATATAGGAGGGTAGAAGTGTCATTTTTGGCATTAAATTATAAAAACCTAACCTCGTATCTTTGTGGTATTCTCTCTCTCTCTATTGCTCATTCTGGGGCAAACTGACTGCCAAATTTTGAAACAGCACTGTAGAAGGGCCCTTGTGATGAAGGACTAGGGTTCACCAACAGCTATGAGAATGAGCAGGTCTTTTTTCAGTGAGTCCTTCAGAAGAGGCTTCATTTCTGGCTCACGGCTCAGCTGCAACTTAATGGGAAACCATGAAGAAAAGACACTTAAGTTGTACCTAGATTTTTTTTTTTTTAATTTTACTATTATTTTTTAAGAGAGGTTTTTGCTATAGGGCACATGTGCTCACCAGAAAGACAGAGGGAGACAGACAGAAAGTGAGAAATCAACCCCCCCCCCGGCCCCCCAGGGAGTATGGTCATGCCGCAATCTCCTCCTCTCGGAATTTTGGGCACACATGCACATGTGCCTAGTATGAGTTAAGCCACCGGGTCCAGGACTCAAGCCATGGTCAACTATGTCGGAGTCCAGCAATATAACCTTTACACCATCTGCTGGTCCCAGTTGTACCTAGATTTTTGACCCAGAAACATTGTGAGATAATAAATAGTTCTTATTTAAGCACTGATATTTGGGATAATTTGTTTTCTGGCAATAAATATTGGAGATGGTCGCCATTCGCTCACTGTCTACATACTCCATTTCACCCATGGAGAATCACAGGTTGGCTACAAAGAGCTATTCTTGTTGATCATCATGATTGTCCCACCTTGTGAAATAAAGTTTATTTCAGGCCTGAAGTATATGTAAACATATGGGTGATAAACTAAGGGATGCTACAGTTTAAGAGACCAGGCAGTGAAAATTACAGTTGCTTGCAGCATTAAGACCATGGTCAAATGGCACTTTTTCCATTTGAGAGGAACTTCCAGTTTTGTCTCTGTCCCCACCACACACCACCAGAGAGCATACAATATCCAAAGCTGAAGGAGTGCTCAGAGTAGCATCTCTGACTACACCTCACTACTTACCTGCTGCCAAGCACAGGCCTTTTTCCATTTGGCTGCTTTTTTTTAATACATAATTATTTTATCACAATCTTGAACTTTAAGATGATTTGGAATTTGTGTCTTTATGTGTTTCTGATATACCTTTCCTACTATTTTCACATGATATAATTATTTTTCTCTTTATATGTTCATAAAATGTTTTGCGTGGTGAACTTATAACCTACACAGTCTCACTCTGGTATGGAAATTAATGGAAAGTCAAAAATCTACAATGAAGACCATTTTCTAAGTAAAACATATATGAGGATTTGATATATTGATTTATTTGTTTAAATATTTGGTAAGGTCAGGACCAGCAGATGGCATAATTGTTACGTTGCTGGACTCCCACATGGCCGACTACAGTTCAAGTCGCAGAACTGGTGGCTTGAAAATCACTCTGGGTGTGTGTGCTTTTTGCCTACAATCCTAGGAGAATGGAGGAGAAGGGATTGAAGCATGGCCATTCTGCTTGGAGGGTGATGTCTCACTTTTCCTATCATTGTCTCTGTTTCTCTCTCTCCAGTGAGTACATCTAAAAAATATTTTTGGTAAGGTTATGGTAAAAAAAAAATCATTCTATGATATACAATATTTTGGAGTCTTCTAAATATACAGCTTATTGTATGTCAAGAACCTAACCCATTTCTTAACTTTGTAACACAGGAGAAGAAAACCTTCTGGCAATTTTACGACGAAGATGGTGGAAGTATATGATCCTGGGACTCATAGACTTGGAAGCAAATTACCTTGTGGTCAAAGCTTATCAGTATACAACTCTGACCAGTATCCAGGTACTCAACTTTCTAAGCTTTCAGATTTAGTTTACTTTCAGTCTCATATCTCAAGAATATGACTACTACTCTTTAAGTTTACAATGAGAGGGAAATTGATATAATAATATAAAAATTAAATTGAACTTTATTTATATGTCTTATTAAATTTATTTAATCAAGTGTAATTGGATATCTTTTTTCTCTTTGTTCTGAATATGCCACAATAGCCATTGACAATGTAGGAAAATCATTTGTGGCTTTCAATCCTGCCAACTAACCTTATGCCAGTGGGAAAATTATTAAGTATAAATCTATTTTAATCACAATGTATAACTTTGGAATGTTAATAGACTTTGATTAGGTCATCAAACTCCTTAATAATATTTTCTTTTATAATTTTTTAATGCATAGAATTTGCAAAGTGAAGGGACAGAGTTTTTATTTTTAAGAAATGAGAATTAAATTCCTAAAAGGTGTTATGCATAAAGGCAGCTACTGTGTTTTTCTCTCTCCCCACCTCTGTCTTAGTTTCTGTCTCATGAACACACACACAATTGCAAATTTAACTTACCTTTTTACAGATTTTGTCAGACATTTATATTCCCTATTGTACTGTAAATTATAAGCTTGGCTATTTTTCCTTGATCCTCATTTCTCTTTTTATGGCAATATTATTAATTTCATAGTCATTCTGAAACTCTAGGATAAAAACAAAACAAAACATTGTTTACATATGGATTTATTTTAGATTTTACACTTCAACAAAATTCCTGCCATACTTTTAATTTGCTCAGAAAGAACTAACAAAAATGGAGAAAAATATGGCAAACAAATCACTGGAATAAATTTAAATTATATAGATGGGATAGAAAGTGATCTATAGCTTATTTTACTTTCCTACCACCTGGTACTGAAATGAACTTCAAAGATGGTGTCTTAGCTCATTTTTTCTGCTATGACAGAATACCTGAGACTGAACGATTTGTAATGAATAGAAATTTATTGCCTCGAAAGTAAAAGATCAAGGAGGGACCAGCAGTTGGCATAATGGCTGTGTCGCTGAATTCCCATGTAGTCAACTGCGGGTCGAGTCCCGGACCTGGTGGCTTAAACTCATGCCACGCATGTGTGTGTGCGTGCCCAAGATCCCGAGAGGAGAATGGAGGAGAAGGGATTGCAGTGTGGTCATCCTCTCTGGGGGATGATTTCTCGCTTTCTGTCTCTCTGTCTCTCTTTGTCCTTCTGGCAAGCACACGTGCTATAATACCAAAAAACCCTCAAAAAAAAAAAAAAAAAATCAAGGGGCCGGCATCTGTTAAGGGCCTTCTTATCATCCCATGGCAAAAGACAGAAGGGAAAGACAGAGCAAGAGGGGCCCAAACTTACCCACCGTGAGGGTGGAGCCTTCATGGCCTACCTCTTAAAAGACCCCACATTTTATTCATTTCACTCTGTTTTATTTTTAAAAGTTTTTCTTACAGGGCACATGCACTGATCAAGAGAGAGAAAGAGAGAAAACGTGAAAAATCACCAAGCCCCCAGAGATGGGGGATGCCCACGCCATAGTCTCTTCTCTTCTAGTCTCCTCTCAGGATTTTGGGCACATGCACATGTACCTGGTGAGATTTTCAAGAAATAAATAAACTTTCAAAGAAAAGACAGGTGAAAATTCCAAAGAAAAAATAAGCACTTTTTTTTTTTTTTTGAGAGATTTTCACTGTAGGGCGCGTGCGCTCGCCAGACAGACAGAGAGAGACATAGAGACAGAAAGCGAGAAATCACCCCCCAGGGGGGATGGTCACGCCGCAATCCCTTCTCCTCCATTCTCCTCTCGGGATCTTGGGCACGCACGCACACGCGCCCGGCGTGAGTTTTAAGCCACCGGGTCC